AATAGGGTCCCATATATGCACATATCAGCATGCTGAAGGCGAATATCAAATGTCACTATGACTGATGTAATTAGGTTTTTTTTTCTCACACTGGCATTTAGAATAATCATAACTATTTCTACTCAGTCTAGTGAGATGGGGAAATACTCTCTTGACTGACCTGTTCGTGACTGATCTTTTTTCGGAAAATCTGGACAACATATCTTTTCTATTCCGTCTTCGGAACCGCACTGTACCGTCTTTAAAAACTGAAAGTAAAGGAGTTTCTTTATTTTTGAGAGGTATCCAGTTAAACTGACTGAAGAGCATTCTTTCAACGGAATGCAATTACAGCTTGATCCGGTATTTCCTGAAACAGAAATTCGTTTGAATATTGTATGTGGAATTATTTTTCTGCCTTACATACTAATGTTGAAAAAAATGACTAATGTATACAATTTTGCATTTATGATGTGATATTATATGTATGTACAAAAAAAAATCCTGATACACCATGAGCTACAAATTCTTTACATTCTTTTTTCAAATACTTTTCATTCTTCAACGAAAACAATATACCATGAAACTGAATAATTCCCTAGTAACAACTGATCTTGTTATACGTATGGTGAGTAAAGCAGTAGGGCAAAAATCTTTTACATATATAGATCCAAGATTATGTGATATAATGTCAGAATCACTCAAAACGACTTATGGAAAGAATCGTTTGAAAAGGGCACTCAAAAAATGTCTATTTTCGAAAATTAAACTGATTCTTAATGAACTAATTGATAGTCCTAACTGATTCATCCTCTTTTCTACAGTAGAAACTATGAATTTACCTTTATCTGATTGATAAAGGTTTTTTATTTCTTTTCAAGTAGACTGTTTTTTATGAAAGCCTTAACATTGTAGTTTTGTTTATTGTATTTTTTTTGTAATGTTCATCAGTTGGAATATATTTATAATTAACAACGAAATTCTTTCACAAATTCTTTTCACAGAGTGTAGCTTCTAGGTTATCATTGAGTAGATGTAATATTGGATGTAATATTGGATACTGTTGAAAAACAAATCGTTTTCTCTTGTCTCATCGAGGTACTCTCTGAACAAGAAATTAAATAGTAAGTGATTTTAAGGAAACTAATATGTTATATGAATCAATGATATGAATTAAAAATGTATTCAAGAGAAAAATGAATCGGTTAAAACCATCTAAAAACCTTATTCATGTACAGAGTTGAAGTTGCGAACAGTTACATCTCATGGCCGGATTCAACCAGTCCACTCAGCGATTCACAATTCATTTCAATAACCTTACAGTTTGATAAGGACTAGCAATTCATAAAAGTTGATATTCTAGTGTAGATCATGCAGAGAAGTAACTTTCAGACACAAACTGGATGGAAAAGCCCTCTTGAAACAACTACTTCCACATAAACTTTGAATTACACCAAAGAAAAAAATACTTTCGAAACAACTAGTTTTTTATGAACACTTAATTTAACAAAAAACACTTTTTACTATTCAGTTTGTAGTCAAAACATTTCTTGATATTCTAATTTTTGAAGATATGAACAGACAGATGCTCGTTTAAAAATGCTGTCAAAAAAGTCAGAACTATTTATTAGTTGTCGACTTTATTACGCCCAATGAAAAATAATGTAGACTCTTGTTTTCAGCTTAATTGACTTACAATCTGAGACATAATATTTTATCACTCTCTATGTTTTAAAAAAATATGTTTTTTCCGTTAACCAGCTATCGCACTCTTACGAACGATAACCCTCAGAAGTCGAAACTTGTGCGAGCTAAGGACTAACGAGGTCTTACCTTTTAACGTGTGATTCCCAACACATACATCGACGCACACATAGGCCAAATGACTGAGTGAACAAAGCACCTACGTCGAGCCGCCCCGCTAATATGTTTCAAGCAAGCTTATATTAGCATGCTCTAAAAAGAAGAAATAAATTTTGAATTAATCGTAACCCATCGTTCTGTCACATTATACAATTTATATATTATAAAGATTATTGCGAGATCTATCTATGTATAAGTTGACTTCGACGTTTTTTAAAGCATTTTAAAGAAAGCTTGTTTACGAAAATATGTTTTGATGGTAATTCATCATATTTATTTTTGTTTGGACTCTGATGCAAAGTAAGCAATAATTACTATCATCTATACGAAATGATATTGAACTATGTATCAAAATATTATCCAGTACCATGATAGTCACCTATATGATTTTTTCCATAGTTCGTTACAACTGTCATAGTATAATTATAGTCTATACGGAGTCACTCCGAACAGCTAAATAAAAGACTCATGGCATTACTCCTCACTAGGTACTAATAAAAAAAATCCGTGTAGGTTCATGAAAAATAAAATTACACTATTATATTACTATATTATACCACGCCGCCCATGCCATACGAAGAAACTGATGACGTTCGCTATCTTTTTAGATTTTATGCCATTCTAATTGACTTTGTATATACTATACAATAAAAAACTACTTCCTATTTGGATTCTGGTAGAAAACAAATCTACTTACCTGTTGTGGTTGCGTCAATCAGGACCATTAAAACGAAGAAACATTTACCACTCAACATATTTCTGGTTTCAGGCAATCCACTCATATACACTATATCACCTGTATTTCATATAATATTTGAAATAGTTGTATTATTCCGTATTTATACCTTTCTTCAATTAAGGAGAGGCATATTATTGATATTTTCTGAGGTGGTTCTGAGAATTCCTGGCCAGAATGATCTTGATCCCTGATAGGTCAAAAATCGTTATATTAATAGAGATGCTAACAGCGGCTTTAGACAGCAAATCGTGGGAGTCTGCCGTCAAGAAGCAGACTCCCACGAAAAAGCGGGAGTCTGCTTTACCAGATGACTCGGATTCCGAAGACTCTTCATCCTCCGAAGACGCGAAAATGGGCTGTTTATCGCCAGGATTCTTGGAAAGCGATAACAAAAGCATTACGAGGTACCCACAAATGGTACTAATCCCTACCTAACAGGTAAGAAACGAAATTCTTACCCAGATAAGGGAAGAAACTTCTACTTCTCAGGTAGGAAGTGAAGAAGGTACCTCACAGGTTCCAGAAGGGACCGAGAACTCTATTGAGGCTACGGAGGTACCTGTTTCGACGCAGGTACCTCTGTGGAAATCCTCCATCCCTCCGCTTATTACGAACAGGCAGAAAGAAAGATGGAACAAGTTTTGTGAAATTGTAGTTCGAGAAAGTATTACTTTCGTTAAGTTTTCTTTTAAATTTATTTTAGTTTCGTTCCTTCTTCAATTAGATGTCTCGATCTATATCTATACTATTTATCACTGTATTTGTATCTGTGTTAATCAAATACCCTACACTGATAAAACATAATTCACTCCGCCACCTCAACAGTTATAAAAATTGATGTTTGTTTAGTTTTTAATTTTTATTTTCAATTGTACTAATGAATAATAAAAATAATTTTCACAAAAGCTAATCTTTCCAAAGAGAATGTTTTCTATAAAATAGACGAAATTCCTACTAGTTGTTAAATTACTTATTACGACCTGATATTGTGACAGACCAAATTTGTCTTTTTCCTTGACGTAAAGTCATCAAAGTTTTCGCAAGGATTCAGTGATTCAACTATCAAAATTATCCAAAGAGGTGCTGATGAGGACAGGATGATTAGTTTTTCTTGTGAGTGAAATTTTTTATCAAATCTCTCAACATTATTATTTTTTGCAGCATTCCTGTATATGAAATGATGATGTTTCTTTTCTAGCACGAACGTGTGGAGAATATAATGAATGAGAAAAATGTGATTTTATCTACATACAGTGTCACCATTAAAGTGCGCACCATATGGGAAACTATTTTTTCGAAAAGTTTCAATGAAGTTTAACTTCGGCACTTGTTTGTGCTTTAAATTTAACTCAAAATTATTCGGCCAACTGCGACCCACTGACGTTCAGTGTTTGTCAAATTCAAATTTTTTTTATTGAAAAAGTG